GTTTAAACACTTCTAATTCTTTCCTGGCCCTTCCCCCTTGACCACCAAATACTGGACTTAACACCTTTGTTGCTGTGACTTCACTTCCTGCTTAGTGTGTAAGCCCTGGAAGGCAGGGCCTATGTCTGCCCTTTTCTCTCCCCATCTTCCTCGCTCCCCTGAGTCTCCAGTCACTCTCCATCCCTAGCTCATTATTTGAGCCTCAGAGTGACATTTCCTGCTCCCATCAGTACCCTCCATCTAGAGCCACTGGGTCTCCCTGTCCAAAATGAAACTTCTTTCAGAGGGAGGTAGCCAGATTTGGCTGGGTCCTAAGATTTCTGGCAGAAAATAAGGATGTGGCCACAACATGGCCAAGCTAAGGACTGTATTGCATTCTTCCTGACTTCCTGCTTCTGTTCCTACAACCATTATATTCCCAGACCCTTAGGCTTGAAGACTTTGGGGCTTCTTACCCCCTCCCCCACCATTCAGCTACTTTCCTGGTCCTTGTCCTAAAACGTGAGTACAGATCTAAACCAGTCTCCCAGCCCATTTCCCCCACATACGAGAAAGCCCATGGTCTCACTACTCATGAACTAGACTTCTGAAGGGTGCACACCCCACCCCATCCCCACCTTGCTCAGACAGCCTTAGGGTCTCCCCCAACCTCTCATGTGCCGATTTATACTCACACCACTGCAACAGCCCACACTTCACGTGTTGGGAGCCTTCAGAAGGGATGTGGCCTGAGACATAGTCCCCCGTTAGGTTAGATGCAACAACTGGAAAGATCACAAAGAAAGTCTTGATCACTCTTTGAAAACAAGAGATCAGGCAAGCAGGGTGATATGTTCCTGCTCATGCATTCCAAGTCGTGCATCAGCTAAATACATCGTGGGGGTCAAAGACCTTCCCAGGGGTGCTCACAAACTGCGGGCTTCAATTCCACTGCCATTGCTGATCTTAGTCCCCTAAGTGATGGTGACCCAAGGGCAGGAACTGTCATGTTCACCTCTGCATCACGTGCAGTAATGGACAGTGGACATCCAGAAATGGTCTGCCATTGGGAGTTATGCAGGGGCATGTGCTGTTGCTTGCTGAATTAGGCTGTGAAGCAGCAGCTTAACAGGTGTTTGTTATGTGTCCCATGGCCACCCTCCAGCTGGAGCTACCTGGAGGCCCATGTCCGGTATTGGTCCTGTTTGGGGGATGGCTCAACAGCCATTTTCTTTCTTCAAGGGAGTTTGGAGAACTTCTGTATGCTCTTAAATTGTTTTATTTTTTTGCTTTTGCTGGGTGACTGAAAAGCGTTGCTCCTTCTTTAAATCTCTAGCTCAGGAAATTAGCTGGGCGTGGTGGCACACGCCTGTAGTCCCAGCTACTTGGGTGGCTGAGGTGGGAGGATTGCTTGAGCCCAGGAGTTGGAGGCTGCAGTGAGCTATGATCAGGCCATTGCACTCTAGCCGGGGCGACAGAGCAAGACCCTGTCCCTAAAAAAAATCTCTAGCTAAGTGGGCAGTTCCATTGAGGGCCTAGGCATTTTTGTATATTATTTCACTTGCCCCGTAATACTCTTCAGCCTCCCCATTTTACAGATAAGGGAACTGAAATCCATGTCAAGAGCCTTGTACAAGGTCTTATAATCTGTGTCTGAACAAACATATGTTTGGGGAAAAAAAAAAACCTCATGTTTGAACCCAAGTAACCTCTCTCCAGGTCACCCCCTGCCTGGTGGGGCAGACACATATGCAAACAGTTAACTGTGGAACACAGTGAGTGCCCTAATAGAGCTGAACAGTGACGGTGGGAGTTGAGTCTTACAAGCTTACAGTTTGTGTTTGGTGTTTGTCCTCCTCACTCCAGATTCTGCCTAATCAACGCAGGAGTCCTGTACCTCTACTTTAGCAACTACCTACAGATCGACGAAGAAGAATATGGCGGCACATGGGAGCTCACAAAAGAGGGGTTTATGACCTCTTTTGCCTTGTTCATGGTATGTGTAGCTGATAGTTTTACAGTAGGCACTATTCATTTCATGAGGTGTCAATCACTTGAGGGTCCCCACTGATTGAGTCAAACTATGTGATTGGGGTGCCATTTTTCAAAAGGCATGGCCTCTTTTGAGCCATGTTGTCCCAAAAGATGTGTAATATACTGTATAATCTCCCCATACTAGTAAATCCAGGGCCCATTGTCAGCCTCTACATCTGATTCTTAACCCTAGATACATAGTAGAAACAGGGTAACATTTAAAAATACATTTATAGCATCATTCATAATAGCTAAAAAGTACGAACTGAAGTGGCCATCCACCTGATGAATGAATATTATATATCCATGCAGTAGAATGTTATTTGGCCATAAAAAGGAATGAAGTATTGATACATGCTACAACAGAGATGAACCTTGAAAACCTTATGCTAAGTGGAAGAATCCAAAGGCCACATGTCATATGATCCCATACGTAAAATGTCTACAATAGGCAGATCCATACAGACAAAAAGATGAGTAGTTGCCAGTGGCTGGGCCGAGGGGGAAATGGGAAGTGATAAAGGGAATAGGCTTTCTTTTGGAGTAATGTTTTGGAATCAGTGCTGATGTTTGCACAGCTCTGTGAACATAATGGAAAATCTCTGAATTATACCCTTTAAAAAGGGTGAGGCTGGGTGAAGTGGCACATGGCTATAATCCCACCTACTCAGGAGGCTGAGATGGGAGGATTGCTTGAACCCAGGAATTCAAGACCAGCCTGGGCAACATAGTGAGACCCCATCTCTAAATTTTTAAAAAGGAGAACTTTATAAAATATGAATTACATTCAAAGTTGGTTTTTGGTTTTTAAAAAAATTATACTTATGACCCTATATGTCCAGAGCCTAGCCCAAACCTGTAAAATAGGCCAGGCACAGTGGCTCATGCTGTAATCCTAGCATTCTGGGAAGCCGAGGCGGGAAGATCACTCGAGGTCAGGAATTCAAGACCAGCCTGAGCAAAATCGAGGCCCCATCTCCACTAAAAATAGAAAAATTAGCCAGGCGTGGCATGTGCCTGTAGTCCCAGCTACTCAGGAGGCTAAGGTAGGAGGATCACTTGATCCCAGGAGTTTGAGGTTGCTGTGAGCTAGGCTGATGCCACAGCACTCTAGCGTGGGCAACAGAGTGAGCCTCTGTCTCAAAAAAAAAAA